GACAGACCTCAGGTGTGCAGTTACCTTCTCAAACCATTCCTTTAGAGTGTTTGAATCTTTCTCCCCATCAAAGTTTTCCACTCCACACCTGAGCAAAACCAAAGTGTGAATTTCAATTAATCATTGCATGGTTACTCTTGGAAGAGGATGAGATTTAAGGGCAGAGGGTTCTGAAGAGTCCTGTTCTGGTGCTACATGTGGCTCTAAACAAGCACTGGCCTCTTCTTCAAGGCAGTCCTCCCTTAAACCTTTTGATGTTTGCCCATGGCTAACTGAAGCTAGCCTGTGTCAAAAAAAAAATGGATGCCTGCATCACTTTTTGATGGCACCAGGTTTCAAGAATCACCTTCTATTAGAAATTGAAAATGGTTTCCCCAAAAACAAGCAAAAGTTATAGAGACATAAACATTTCTGATTCCAGGTAAATGAAGGTTGATTAAGCTGCTTTGTCAGTTAGAAGTCTGCCTGCCTGTTGCACCACACAGCCCCACATCAGCCTCACCTCCAGCAGGGCAGAGAAGACAATGCTTGAGCATGGAGAAGGGCTGGAGCAGGGAGAAGTGTCAGAGCTCCTGGGCTGGGGGCTCAGCCCATGGCAGATCTTTTGGGATGCTTTTTGCAATAAAATCAGTGACAGCTGGAGCCACAGTTGCTGCCTTGAGCTGCTCGTGAATCAGATTTTTTAAAATGTTTTTTCAAAATCCTAATTTTATGAACATCTATACATATACATTTAAAATAACTTCCTGACAGAACTAATAAACACCCTGGATAATCATTTCTGATGAGCACTTCTGTAACTTTCTTAACTCCCTGAGCCTGCAAAACAGGGCTGAAAAGGGAGCTTGCCCATGAAAACTCTGATACTCCGCTTTTGATCGCAGTGGAAATAATCTAAAGTAGGCTTTTCAAGGAGAAATACATCGTTACTTCTTCTGGGTGTCAAAAGGCCACAAGCTAATGAAAAAGAATGAAAAGGATACCATTAATATCTACTGTCTCTGCAACACTTTTCATCCCAGGATCTCAAAGCAAGGGGTGAAGGATGGCCACTATTAACCCCACTTTGCAGGGGAAATAACAAAGTCTTAGCAAGGTTAAGTAACTTGCCCAAAGCTATGCACCAAGCCAGTGGCAAGACACAGGAAAAAATAAAGCCCTGCACCCATGAGTGGGTTTGTGAAGAGTTAGTCCAAGTTCCTCCAAAGCAGCAAGAAGGCAGAGACTGCCAGGGAGTCCAGCCTGCAGCCTGGGGAGCTCAGGACAGGTCTCATGGGCACCTCCACTGTAACTGGTTCCAGGCAAGTGAAACAAATGCTGCCCTCACTGCTTTTACTGCATTTATCTGCCTGTCCTAGCAATGGGGGAGAGGCTTTTTACAGGGAATAGGTTGCTGAAGCCAAAGAAGAAGTGGTAAATCCTGAAGGCTTTGTAGTTTCTGTCCATAAAATTTTCCTTTGGTTTCTGACTCATGCCCCACACATTTTTGGACTAAATGCATTTTGGTTTTAAGTGGGTTTTAGCTGCTTTTCATGGTGAAATGCTCTTGGTACAATGCAAGTTGCATCGTTTCCTTCTGCAGGGGCTCAGGAGGGAAGGGCTGATGCTCTGGAGAGGGAGCCCTGCAGGCTTGGAGCCCTCCTCCACTCCCTGTCAGAGCATCACTGGCCACATTTATTCCCCAGGATGGTGAACCCAGTCCCTGGCCTGCTGCAGCCTCACAAACCTACACAGTAAGGTTTTGAAGCCATTTAATTCTGAATTCTGAAAGGGGAATTCTGAATTCCCATTTAATTCAGACAGCCTTGCCTGGTTTTCCTCACTAGCATTTTCCACTGGCTGCTCCTCTAAAAACAGTTCCTTTCCATTCATGGTAATGCACTGAAGCACTTGATTTTCAGCAAGGAATGGTGTCACCATTTTGCCGCTAATAAAGAAGAAAAAAACCAGCTTTCAATCAATCAGGGTCTATTTAACACATTAGCAATTTTCCTTCATTTTTCTGTCATCCTGCATGAACAGCCATGGGGTCAAATCCAGCCTGGTGTAATTCCAAAGGAGTAACACCAGGAATGAGCTTCACCCATTATATCTAATGTTGCTAAAAAGGTCTTGATAATAGATTTTAAAAGTTCTTGATTCAGAATACTAATCAAGTCCTTTAAAAAGAGCACTTGAGTGGGATGCTACTAAAACAAATATGCTCTGGTATTTTACACCACATCTTTCTGTCCTGTTGCTCATTTCAGTGTGAATATATGAGTTTTGGGAAGCCACTTTGTGCCATGAGGTTTATTCTTGAGCAGCACAGGGGTCATCCATCCCCTATCTAACACCTTCCATGCAGCCCAAAAAACAGCCCACAGGACATCCAGCCACATGCAGCTCCTAGCCAAGGGTTCTCCTTCATGGACCAGTTTTCCCCAGCTCTCCAGAGGCCAGTCCTCGGCACAGTCCCCACCACAGCTCACCAGCAGCACCCTGTGACTGCACACCTGGAATCTCCAGCTCAGCAGCTTCTGGCTATCTCCACCTGATGTCCCAGTGGGCACCAAGTCCCTCCATGGAGACACCACAGCACAGGAGCAAAGCAGATGCAGCACAGTGTGGCACCTGATGCATTTGGCCCCTCAGATGTGCTTTGCACTGCTCCCATGGTACCACAGCCAGTGCTCCACACAGGCTCTGGGGCTGCCCCACCTCCTCATCCTCTCCTTTCTAACACCAGTTTCCTATTCACTTCCCTCTGACCTGGTGCCAGATCCCTCCTTCCCTTCTGCTTTGGGCTGAGGGTACAGGAGAGCAGCGTGGCTGCCCAGGAGCCTGCCTGGCCATGTGCCCCCAGCAGACAGTCCCTGTCACCACCCTGAGGGTAAACAGAGGGCCACCAAAAGCCAGTTTGAGCCAGGGATGAATCAAACCACGCTGGAGTGTGCTGGTGACTCAACATCTCACCGGAGTCCCCAGGTGAGAGTCCCCATCTGACTCAGAGCCTAGGTGCAGTCACCCTTCCCCATGGGGCTGCCCACAGCCTGCACTGCTCCTCCCAACACCCAGGGCACCCTGCAGCATCAACCACAACTCCCACAGTCCCAGGAAGTGTTTCCCCAGGAAATGTTTCCCCAGGGATTCCCCTGGCTGGCCAGTGCAGAACGTGGCCACCAACCACAGCTGAGAGCTGAGTCTTGCTCTGAGTCAGGAATTATTAGCTCAGGAACACCCATGGAGAATTATTCCCGATTTTCAGGGGGGAGCTCTGAAAGTGACTGAGCTTGGCCTCGTGTGGGCATCTAAATATCACTACTGCTGGCAGCTGCTGCTAAAAACAACAGGGGTTAGAGCTCTGTTTTCAGAAAGCAGCAACTTTGGTGGGGTTTCAGGCCTCCCCAGGGGAGGCCAGCCATTTGTGGATGTCTCAGATGAATGCTGCTGGGGCCCTGATGACATTCACACAGGCCAGGGCTGCTTCATGGCTTTTCTCATATCCCTGGCTGCACATTAGTTCAGTCCAGCTCACTCTTTCCCCACCTTTTTCCAGTGAAAAAGCTATTTCAAACCTGTGATAGCAACAGTGCTGTCTGGAAAAGACATAATCTGACCTCCAGAATCCTCAAAGTAAACAGGAGGAGTGAACATGCCAATATTGCTATTTTATAATCTGTATTCCCCTCTGGTTTGTAACAGTCAAAACTTCCCAGGAGGAAATTCCTCTTCCAAGCAAGGGCAGGCTCTTGCTCCACAAAACCCCACTAAACTCTTGGATACCTCTTCAGTCAGAAGAGAAACATGAAGTGATGAGTCAGAGGAGCTCTTCCTCTGAGAGCTCAGGCCCTGCTCCTTCCACCCTCTGAAGGGATGCCCAGCAGGATTAACACAGCAAACCCCAATCAGTTCAGATGCTCAGATGATCTTCTAACAACAAATTACATTTACAGAAGTAATGAAGCGCTCCCATAGCTCTTCAGGGCTTTGAGAAATCTTTTCTCTAAGTACCTAAACACAATTTTTTTTTTTCTGGAAATTCTTACAATCTGACAACACCCAGGACTGTGCTAACACATCAGGGCATATTTTCAGGACATATTTTCCTGAAACCTGTTGCCTAGGGAAGAAACCTGCATGCTTACTTATATCCATGGCCTATCCCAGGCTGATAATCACTGACCCTGTCCCTCCACAGGCAAACCTCACATCCCCAAGCCCACAGCCAGCAGAGTCACACCACGGGTGGCACCACCACCCTGTCCCCCCCCCCCTGCAGGGGTGGCTGCTGCTGGGCATGGGGTGTGTGGTGCCACCCCAGGCTTTCCCAGCAGGGATGCCTCTGATTTACACCCAGCAGGGCGCTGCCCTCTGCCCAGTGCCCCCAGCCCGCGCGGCGAGGCTGGTGTGTCACTCCAAACTTGACTTGGCAGGAGCCTCCAGCAGGCCCTGGGAAGGGCTCCCTGTCCCTGCCACGTCCACCAGTGCCATCCCCTTCCCCATGGCCATGTGCAGCCAGGAGCAGCAGCAGGAAGAGGGTTAAATCCCAGCAGTTCTCCAGCACAGCACAGCGAGAAGCTCCAGAGACAGACATTGCTCTCCTTGCCCAGCTAAAAGTTGAGAGTTACAGAGTTATGCTCTCACTTCCAAAACCTGATGGCTATGGTTTGGTGGGCAAAGAGGGTAGGCAGCATAAGAAATTAACATTTGTTTTTCAGCATCATCAGGCAGGAGTTCACTGCAAAGCACAAGCTAATACATACATCCAGTGAACAGCAACCCTGTATTTTATTTCAGGTCTGTTGGGTACTGCAGGGAAGAATACGAAAGGCTGTGTTATTCTGCAGGAGCAGTTTTCCTTGGGAAAGTACAGCCAGACACTTAATCCCAGGAATATTTATAGTTAGCATAACTCAAATGGTGTTGTGCATGCAGTTGGTTAGTCTAAAGTGGAGCGTCATGCAGCTTGCATTAATGCTGGCAAAGGCACTTTATGGAGAAACAGACTTTATGCTTACAATTATCCCAGCCCAATATGGAGTGTCTCTGACTAGCAGAGAGGAACTGATGCCTGCCATAAGGAAGCCCAGCACTGTTACAGAGGTGCCTAACGCCAGCTGCAGCAACGCAAACAGCAGCGGGAAACGGCAGCCACAACAAGTGTGGGATTCCTCCTCCTGGCCAGTTTTGGGATCCCCCTTGTCTTTCTTCTGCTTCTTCTTCTTCTTCATCGCGGACTCCTGCGTCGAGCCGGTGCTTTTCTCCCCTCCGGGTGCCTTCCCTGTCTGGCTCTGGGAATTCGGGGCCGTGCCGTGCCGGGCTTTCTTCTCCTCCTTTGCCATGCCGGCGGGCTTGGCGCTCTCACGTGCGTGTGTGTGTGCGCCGCCGATGGGGGTGTGAGCTTTCTGCCCCCCAAAGCTCCGCTTTGTGCCGGCCGAGTTGTTCCTGGTATTTGAATCAAGGAGGCTGAACAAATATGGAAAACATTTGGAAGCAGATTGTCAGAGCTTCGAAATGCCACATATAGCCCGGAGAAGGGGGGATGCAAGGGGGGTAGCGCACTGCCAACGTGCGGGCGCCGGCCGTGCGCGCAGCGGGCCGGGCTGGCTCGGCCCCGCAGGTGTGAGCGCACCTCGGGGCAAACAGCAGGGCAGGAACTCCGCACCGCCGGCTGCCGAACAGCAGGGACATGTGTGCTCCTCGCCAGGGAGCCGGGAACGCTGCACTGCCTGTGCAGAGAGCGGGCAGGAAGGAGGCACCGAGGCTCCGCCGGGGGTAGAGGCAGGCAGAGCGTGGCTGGGGGCACCCACCAGCACCGCAGCGCCCATTCCACACGAGGCCCCCTGAGCCGCTGTAAACTGGGCGTCCCCGCGGGAGGGAGCTGATCGCGTGTATGGAAAGTACGAAGTACAAATGAAAATACAAGTTCGGGTCCTGGGGAGCCAAAAGGGATCCTATCTCTTCCCAAAAGCTGCAAAAGCTAGGCATGTTGTATGATGAGGCAGACCAGCAGTGAGGACTGGTGCTTCTGGGCAGGCAGTGGTAGAGCGTGGAGCAAACATCTGCTGAGCGTGTTTCCAGTTATCCATAGCAGAAAGATTGTTTATGTTACCTAAAAGACAGAGGGATGTCTTATTGTGGACATGTGGTCACTGCACTTCATCCATATGTGGGCTCAGGCTGGTGCTTGGAGACAGCACAGCAACAGAAGTGGTGGAATTTCTCCCGAAATGCCCAAAAATTGCTCTGTGGCTGAATCCAGCGCTGGGAGCCATGGCAGAGCCTCGATACACTGGGGGGGCTCACCCATGGAGGTGCCAGCAGGACTGGGGTCTGCAGAGACTCAATTCTGGCTCTGTGGAGAGGAGGGAGCAAGAAAAGGTGGGTGCTGAGTGGTGCCGTGCCAGGGCTGTGCTGGCAGCCCTGAGTTCAGCCAGGCCACGGTGCACAAATCCTGCAAGGGAAGACCAAGGGGAAGCAGGGAGGCTGTGGGAAGCTTGTGCTTAGCTCAGGCCAGAGGAATTACTCAAAAGCTTAGGGGTAAACAGGTGCTTAAATGCTTTGCTGGCCCGGGGCCGAGTGTGTGCAGCCTGTGTACGGCACCGCTCCTCCGTGCGTGCAGCTCCGTGTCCCCGCCGGCACAGGGACACCCTGAGGACATGTGGGCTCTGCTGCTGCCCCACAGACACCAGTGAGAGAACCTTAAATGGCCCAGCCAGCCCTGTCCCCACCACGGGGCTCTTGCAGTTTTTTTCCTTTTCCATAGAAGCAGACAGCAGGAGCAAAGCGTTGGGAGGAGTGGGGCAGGTGGAAAGAAATCATCAGAGACTGGAGAAATCCCCACCAAAATTGCCTTTGGATGTGGCAGAGCAGCTCAGCTGGGATTGGCCAAAATGGTGAGGTACTCAGAGAGGATCTTGCACATGCTGGTATGGCATTGAGGAAATATTTCCTCTGACACACTGGCACTGCCTTCTGAGAAACTACTCCATTTCCAGCTCTTTATGGCATTTAAACAGCAATGAACTGTGTCTTCTGTATTAATAAATTATGATGTCACTTTGTTTTATGGATTAAGCAATATCCTCTTTGGTTATTTATAACACCAAATGGATGAAATAAAACTGGAAACAAAGTGGTTTCAGATGCTTTCTGCACACATAACTCTCGTGCTACATCCATAGAGAGAGATTAAGATACATTGTTCAAAAAAGGAAGAGGAAAATAAACAAGAGGTGAAAAAAAAATCTTCCTCCTCTAGTCATGCTGCGTAGAGTACCATGTTTTCACAGTTTCCCACTAAGATGTTTTGTCACTATCATTCTCTTTTAAAAATATCCTTACAATAACTTGCACTCACGGGTGTATCTTGCCTCTCAAAGCCACACACAACTATATTTAACCACAGCTTTGAGAAGGACAGGGTGTTCAAGGATCATCACCAAGGTCAGACCAGAAAGCAGTGGCAAAGCTGAGGGCATGTTTAAATGATGCCCACTTGAACATCTATGCTAATAATAATTAGAGTGAAATGAAGTTCGAATTTTCTTTTCCTTTATGCCATTTCCATGGTTCTATCCCAATGATCTTTACTGTGGACTTTCCCCCAGGAAAATCCCTGTTTTAGCACCTGGATTTGTGCTGGTGGCTGGATTTATGATTGCTGTTTTCTCAAAGGGGCCAAAATCCAGCTGCTTTATTCGTGCCGACATTCATATTGGTTTCAGTGGGAGCAATTGCCTGAGGAGGATGAACAGGATTTAACCCAAGGTCAATAAAATTAACAAGAACTTACCTTATGGCCCATAACAACCCTTGTTTCTCTCTGGGCTGGAGAATCTCTGGTAAAACAGGTGCCTAAATATCCTTACTGTACAGCAAGTAAGTAATAAATGAGGCCATGCCCAAGGGCACAGCTGGAATATCTCCTACAGGGCATATGTGGGATGTCCCCTTGGGTCCCAGATCCCTGCACCCCTTCTGAAAATTCCAGCTGGTGCCCAGATGCCTTGGGGCAGGAGAAGTCTAGGCCAGCTCATGGGACATCTTCTGTTCAGTGACAGAAAGGTTTGGGTATGAAACCATGAAATGTGGCCAACATAGGGCAGAGCTGCCTTCTCCCAGCTGTTGGGTATGGAGTAGCTGTGCCACATGGTTTTTTCCAAGGAAAATAAAGACTTTACTTGCCATCTACCCTGGTCACACTGAGACAGGGAGCCTCTCCTTGGCTCCTTGCACACCTAAAGTCATATCCATCTTAGAATCCCACCATTTCTAATCTCTGCAGCAATACATGGCTATTTAGAGAGAAAATTAAGGCTCAAATCCATTGAAAAAACTCCAGGCAGGGATAGTGCTGATTTGAAATTATTAAACTGTGTGTACCAGAGGTTCTTTTGCTGTGGCTAGCTGTCCCTGCAAAATCAAACTCAGATATCTTACATGCTGGGAAGTTTAATAGGGACAGAGAAGAGACGGATGCAGGATTGATCTTCCATACTTATTATCTGAACCAGATTGTGTTTGCTGATTCCACTTGGCATTAACAATCGAGTGTAAAACAGCTGTGAAGGAACTCATAGCAATGACAAATTAAAAGAATTACATTTTTGGAAATTGAAAGATTAAACGAGGACACTGAAATAACACTAAATTTTCTCGAGTAATACATCTTCCGGATGTCACTTGGATTTTCCCAGCAACACAAGAATAATCATTACCCTTTTATGCCCAAAGGCCCTGATTAAGTATGTTCTTAAATTAAGCACATGCTTGAATACCCTTCCTGGATGAGGATGTTTTTTGATTCGAGCCCAGCTAGCATCTCTCATGTGGCACGCAGTTGTAATTTCATGTCCTTTACACAAAATGAGTCATGTTGCACAGCTTTTCCATGGCCAGACACCATCCTCTGTCAAACATTGCCTGCTCTTGTTCCTCTCCTTGCCAGAAAGCAGCGCAGCCCGGGTGACGGTGACAACAAGTCAAAGAGCACACACAGCGCCAGGCGTGGAAGAGGCGAGGTCTGGGCTGCAGCTTTGTGGTGACACAGTCTTTCCTACTGCTTCTCCCAGGGCTGGGGACACACAGAACTGCATGGGACTCCAGAAAGCTGGGATTTTTCCCCACTGCCATCTTTGCCCTGGAAATAGAGCGGGGTTGGCGTGGTTGGGCTGTCAGAGACACCCAGACGCTCACTCCCACATAATCACATTTATGCTGATATTTCTCCCAGGCATCAGCGCCCCGGCCAAGTGCCAGAGGCAGGGTTGCAGCACACAAATCCAGAGCACCAGAATTATCAAGGAACAAAGGCTTGAACAGGGCTGTCCTCGTTGCCCCAAGTACTGTGGGACATTTGGCTCCCTTTGCCCAAGGAGCAACTCCACAAAGAGCTGCTGACCCAGGGGTCCCCTCGGAGATGCCAGCCCCAGTGTGACAGCTGGAGTTGGGAGGGAGCCAAATGTGCCACAGCCAGCCAAAGGATCACCACTCTCCAAGCCAGTTTGGCTCAGGAGAAGCTAAGACCCTGCCTAACCCTTGCTTCTTGTTCCCCTGATCCCCTCACCCTGAAGGAAGCCATGGACTGCAGAGCTGGGCCAAGCACGGCCAAGTAGCCAAAGGTCAGCACAAAGGCTGGGCCAAACTGGGAGGGGGGGTTCCCTCTTAAAGCAAATGATGAAAGGTTCTCCCTGAAAAAAGGTTTAAAATCAAGTTGTGATTTCCAAAACCTCATGCCTATTAACAACAGATAATAACAACATGTAGCTCTTGAAAGCACATTTGCATAAAAGACAAGGCCAGCTAGAAATGGGTCCAACACATGCAATCCACGCTGGTTTCTGCCACAGCCACTTTTAAAGTTCAGGTCATCTGGAGGTGAGACTTGTTTTCAACAGGCTCTTCTGAGGCCAGTTCATGTTGTTTTGAGTGTCTGTGGGCTCTGCTGTGAGAGCTGGGTTGTGCCAGGTGACCTCCAGAGGAATCATCCATCCCATAGTACTCTGCATATGCTCCATGTGCCCTTTTGGCATCACTGGGGTAAGACCAAGGTACAGAGCATTTCAGTTTAGCTGGTGACAGATGTGGAAAGAAGTAAAGAACAGGAGTCATTTTATGTCAGGGTACTCCACCCCTGGAGGCCATTTATTTAACAATGCACCTTACTCCCTCCATTGCCTCTGACCATTAAGTAAATCTGTGCATATTAAAAAAAATCAGCTTGGGAGGAAATGGTGTCTTGCAGTCTCCAAAATGATTGTCCTACACCAGTTCAAATTCCTAGACCTTTGCTTTTGCTAAAGCTCCCTCAGATGCCTCATGCCTGGGGCTCCTCACCTCCAGCTGTGCTTCCCTGAATTCAGTGGCTCAGGCATTTTTTGGGGTCTTAACAGTGCTTAAGCTGTCCATAATGATCTGACTGTTTCTGCCTCATCTTCTACTCTTAGGGCAGGTTCTTTGGGGTGGAAGGCACATATTATCACATTTCTGCATGAGGTCTGGAGAGGGTCCTTAGGGGCTAC